TGTCTCTCTCTCCCTCTTTGTCTCTCTAAAAAATCAGGTGAGGCTATTGTGGAGAAAAGCCAAGCTTTTACCAGCACCCGTAAAAGTGTATAGAGGGCTCAACCAAGGCCCTGGTTGTAGCCCCATATTAGAAGAGAGCAAGTGAGTGGACATTACTCATCTGTCCTCCTCCTTTTCCAGATTGGAGATAAGAGCTGCTCCAGTCACTCCAGCAGCAACACACTCTCCAGCAACACATCCAGCAACAGTGACGAGAAGCACTTTGGGTCAGGGGACCTCATGGACCCTGAGTTGCTGGGGCTAACCTACATCAAAGGGGCCTCCACTGACAGCGGCATCAACACAGCCCCGTGCATGCCAGCCACCATCCTGGGCCCCGTGCATTTGACAGGCAGCAGGTCCCTGATCCACAGCCGGTCTGACCAGTGGGCTGATGCTGCTGATGTCCCAGGAGCTGACGATGAGCCTGCCAAGATGTATGCCCTGCACGGCTTTGCCTCTGCCATTTCCACCAGTGGGGCTGCAGAAGGCAGCATGGGCGACCTCAGTGAGATCTCGTCTCACTCCAGGTGAGTGGCTATGGGTTAAGCTGTACCCTCTCCTGCCTGAAGTGAGGAGGACAGGACCTAATGCCAGTTGCCACCATATGCCCAACTGTGACTTTTCAGGAAATACTCATTTCTAAAGCCTCGTCAAGCTGTGTGTGTATTGAGTCGCCTGCTGGTGATTTTATTTTCCCATTAAATCTGAGGATAACGTCATTTGAGGTATCTTAATTGCTATAGCCAGGCCAATCACCTCTCCCACTTCAACCCCAACATCTTTTAGAGAAGAGCTGCAAGGTGGGTAGCCTTCAGTGTATAGCAGGTGTGTCCAATTTCAGGCCACATACATCCTAGGATAGCTTTGAATATAGCACAGTGCATTAGTAGATTTCATTATCATATCACAGTTTCAAATGGTTGGCTACCCCTGGTAGAGAGAAGGCATTGAAATATGCTGGGAATCCCTGTGAGCTCCCTCTCTGCCCTGAGACCTGATGGCAAGCCAGATCTAAGGTTTCCTGTGTGTCCATGAATGTAGTACTTGGCAACTAGAATTTTTCTTTAAAGATTTATTTTTATTTGTGTGGATGTATGTCTGCACACGTATGCCTGTGGAGCCCAGAAAAGGACACCAGATCCCCTGAAACTGGAGTTACAGGTAGCTATAAACCACCTGATATGGGTACTGGGAACTGAACTCATATCCTCTACAAGAGCAGCAAGTATTCTTAATCACTGGGCGTGGCAGTGTAAGTCTGTAATCCCAGCTACTTGGAGATTGATCAAGCCTAGCCTGGGTTATAGAGTTAAGTTCAAGGCCATCTTAGGTGTTTTAGTGAGACTCTATCTCAAATTGGTTTGTTTGCAGTGTAGCTCAGGCTCTAGATTCAGTCCTCATCACTACAAAAAAATAAGACCTAAACAGAAGAATTATCTTCTAAATATAAATGTTTGATACATAGTAACATACATGTGGTTTTATACTCCTGTTTGACACACATCTGTATGTTGGTTTTAAAACTCATACCCCTTTGTGATTTATGCATTCACTTTCAAAGACTCAGAGCAGAAACATGTATGTCTGTGGACGATATTTTAGCAGGCATGTGGCTTCTACTGGCCTTATTTTCTTATCTTACTAGACTCTGGGTCACTCTGATTTCTCAGAACTTCCAACCACAGAGCAGGACTAGACAAACTGTACTGGGACAGTCCTCCAAGACCCTAGGATTCTGAAAGTCATGTCTCCAGGAAGTGGTGCCTGTAGGCCCCTAGAGTCCACCCTGGGACCCTGTCCTGCCTTCCCCGGACACTACTATAAGACACTGGTCACTGTATATGTCATGTTTGTAACCAGTCAAATAAAACTACACCCTCATTGGTTCATATGACCAAAAAGGAACTGCCTCACTTTGTGACATGTAACCCAAATATTCTGAACTGTTGCAGTTCAAGGTTCTGCTTGACCCAGGTCAGCTAGCATCATGAAGCACTGTGTCTCCCACCCTTAGGTTCCATGATGGCCCTTCAAACTATCAGCATTTTCTCCAGGACTAAAACTGACTGCCACCTACAGGCTCCTGTGTTCATGCCCAACGCCAGTGAGAGGGGTTCTTCTCTATCTACAGAGGACATGCCTCCTTCAGAAAGCCCTGTATTAGTTACCTTTCTCATTGCTGTGACAAAACACCTGACACAAGCAACTTAAGGAAGGAAGGGTTAATTTGGGCCTGTGGTTAGGTGGAAAGGCATGGTGGCAGGAGCGTGAGGCAGCTGGTCACATCGCAGCCGCAGTCAGGAAGCAGAGAGGGATGAATGCTGGTGCTGAGCTCACTCTCTCCTCTGTTCTGTCCAGGACCCCAGCCCAGGGGGATGATGACATTCAGGCTTGCTTTTCCCTCCCCAGTTACTCTCTGGAAATGCCCTCATAGACATATGCAGAGGTGTGTCCCCTGGATAATTCCAAATCCAGTCACGTTGACAAGATTAAACATCACACCCACCGCCCACATGTCTTCTCAAGTGTCCTTGGCTTCACAGCCCCATAGCTAAGGGTAATATTGCTGAGGATAGCTGAGGCTTCTGCTGGCAATGGGTCTGCAGCAGCAAGCCATGAGACTGAGCAATGGTGATATGGCCACTGCCTTGGCAGAAGCAAGGACGGCTGGAATTGGGAGTAGTCTCCAGACAGGGAGTTCCTCTGTGTCCCCCAGAACCAGCTCTTGTCTGTCAAGGCTGAGGGCCAGAGGACCTGGAGGACATGTCCAAAGTAAACATACATTCCTACTGCTTCTCACCAGTTCTGTTTAATAAAGTAAGTTTATTATAAAATGAATGATATTTTAGGATCACAGTGAATTCCACTTCCTCGTGATTCCTGCTCATTTCAGGATCAGTTGCAAGTTGGCCGTTCTTCTGTAAATGCCAGCTGGGGATCCTGCAACCTGTGGCATGTTTTTCATAATTCAGAACATGTGTAAGATAGCTGATGTCAGGAAACCCCCATGGCCTCAGAGAATTGGGGTTTTATGTTACTGCTGAATAAGATTTCCTTGGAAACTGCCTTCAGAACACATTAGTTCATAGATAGATGAACAGGTGTTTGAGGGGTTTGTCTCAAACCCCTAGCCCTTACTAATTGATGGGTTAAATGATGGAAAAGCCCATGGAAGAGCCAGGTTGAACTCCTGATTAACCTTTGGGTTTTCCACCTCAATGGAGACTGAAGGCATGGGCAGCTAAGGTAACACTTTAAGCACTGAGCGAGTAGCCCCCTGCCGCTTGCCTGCCTTTTACCGTGGTGGTTCTCTAGTTGTGTTTCCAGCATCCTTTCAGCCACAGGCGCACAATCCACACTTGAGTATGCTTGGAGCTTTTGTTCATGGAGGCTTTCCATCCAGGGAGCTTTATGGTAGCAAGAAGGCTGCCCTGCCCTCCATCCCTGTGGCCAGTTTTGGCCACATACCACTGCTGCATCTGACGATGTTATCACCTTTCTCTGGCTCTCTTCACAGTGGCTCTCTCCATTCAGGAAGCCCCTCGGCTCACTGTTCCAAAAGCACTGGGTCTCTGGACACCTCCAAAGTCTACATCATGTCTCATAGTGGGGGTCAGCAGGTTCCTGGGGCCATGGCAAAGCCCTACCACAGACAAGGGGCAGCAAACAAATATGTCATCGGCTGGAAAAAGTCGGAAGGCAGCCCACCACCCGAGGAGCCTGAAGTGACCGAATGTCCTCGGTAAGTGGTGTCTGCCCATGTGAAGGCAACCTCTTGTACTTTCAATATTGACCACACAGGAACTCGAGAGATGGCTCAATGGATAGTAATGGCTGCTCTTGCAAAAGACCCTGGTTTGAATTCCAGCACCCACATGGCAGCTAACAACCATTAATTACAGTTCCAGGGGATCCAACGCCCTCTTCTGACCTCTGAGGGTATTGCACAATGAGTGCACTTAACATACATATGGGCGTAACCCTCATACACATAAAATAAAATAAATAAATTTAATTTAAAAAAAGGGAAAAAAAAGATTGATGAAGCAAAATGTGTTTCCTTTCTCTGTAGAGGGAAAATACCTGTTTCAAACTCTGTGTGTGTGTGTGTGTGTGTGTGTGTGTGTGTGTGTGTGTGTGCGCGCGCGCGTGCATGCCTACACACATTACATAAGCACGTGAGGCCAGAGGGCAACCTCAGGTGATGATCCTCAGGCACTATCTACTTTTTTGAGACAAAGCCTCTCATTGGCGTTATCTTGCCTTGAGCTCACCAAGTAGGCTAGACTGGGCCAGTCAGCAAGCCCCAGGAATCTTATCTCCATCTCCCCGGTGTTAGTATGTACCACTGTGCTTAGCCTTTTTACATTGTGCTAGGGATCAAACTCAGGCCCTTATGCAAGCACTTTACCCACTAAAGCATCTCCCCCTCCTAGCCTCTGTTTTAAACTCTTTAAATGTTGGGATCTCTATTTCTCTTTTGTCTTCACTTGATTTTTTTTTATTATTAGGAGTGGGGTATGTGTACTGTGGAGGTTAGAGGACAACTTCATGGAGTTGACTTTCCTGCTACCTTTACATGGGTTCCAGGGATTGAACTCAGGCCATCAGGCAGGCTTGCTTGGCAAGCACTTTACCTACTGAGCCATCTTGCCAGCCTTTGCCTTTTTTATGTAAATTTTTTAAGGAATCTGCAGTCTTTGCTCCTATGTCCAAAAAGCTGTCTGCAGTGGAGCTACAGTAATGGCTGGTGATGGTGTGGACATAGACTGTGCCATATGGCAAAATCAAGAACAGCGCAAATTCCAGTGTCAGGGAACATAAAAGCAAAAGCATTTTACCACATTTTCTGGTAGGACTCTTGATTTCCAATTCCAGTATGAGGTTTGATGGGCAGAGAAGGAAGGATGCTTTGTATCTGTATGAAAAGGGGAAATAGCAGTGACCAGCTTATATAAGCACAAGTGGCAACTACAATGGCAGCTCCATAAGGAAGTGGTAGAGAATCCCATGTGAAGGCTGCTCAGAGCTCTTAAGCTCATGGCTTGCCTGTTATCCAGAAAAGCCCAAGAAGCCGGTGTCCTGAGCATATAGAGTCATGTGCTCGGTTTTGCTTGCTTGTGATGGGGGTGTTGGCATGGGGTGGGTGTGTCTGGCTTAGGGGAGTGTGCAGTGACTCCCATTCTACTAAAATCCTGTGTCTTAACACAACAATCAAGGTATGTTTCTAGATTAATAGTCATTTTAGTATTTCAGTTGCACACGGAATCTTCAAGTCATGTCAGTTTACTGCAAGCAAGATGTTTGAGAAGAAATTTCCACTGCACCTTTTCAATGTAAACACCAATGCTAGAATAACATGTGCCTATTTCCCCTCATGTACTTCACAGAAACTCATCCCAAGCCTTTTGGAAGCTTCAGAAAGTATTATTAGAACCGTTTCAGACACAGTACAGGCTCTGTGTGTCCACATTCTGCCCCCTCCAACATATGGAGAAAGGGGCAGTGCAGGAATGTCAGGAGTAGGGACTGTTGTCCCTGGGAAATAGCTCCACATACACCAGCTAAGTCTCAGTGTGTCCCTCAGGACTTTGACTGCCCCACATTTCATGGGAAGTGGGCATTCTCCCATGTGTGTGCTCAGGTACGTTTTGCAGAGAGTGATTGTGGACAGCCTTCAACTTTGCTTCCTAGTAAGTATTGGAACCTAGAGGAGAAAATGTCACTGTGGGATGTGAAGCCAGGGCTCCAACCCACTGTCCACTCACATGTCAGATATGGGAGCTGTTGAAGGCATGTCAAACAGGTTCTAAGACAAGACATACAGGACTACAGGGCTAGGTTTGGAGTCCTTTCAAGGTATACTGCCTTCCAGCTCTCTGAAAGACCTGTTCAGGAACCACCAGGCAGCCCTACAGTGAGCGCCACTCTGAATTAAGCACCAGTAGTTCCCCATTCTGCACACCAAACCCCATTTTGCATTCTTTGGGAGAAGTTCATAGCTCTAAAATCACCAGTGTGCCTAGAGAGATAGCTCAGTGGGTAAAGTTACTTGCTGCACAAGCACAAGGACCCGATTTTGGATCCCCCAACACCTATGTAAAACCGAGGAGCAATGGTAGGCACCTGTAACCACAGTGTGAGGGATGAAGACAGAAGGATCCCAAAGGTAGCTAGTCCAAACTGAGCTTCAGCTTTGTAAGAGACCTCAGAAACTAAGGTGGAGAGCTATAGAAAACATCTCAATATCAACCCCTCCTACAGCTGTGCACACATATACATAACCCAAAATTAAAAACAGTATCACTAGTTACTTCTTTAAAATCATATTGTAGAGCCCTTGGTGTCCCCCCCCCGCCGCCATTTTTTATTTTAGTATAAGCAAAGGAACAGTTCTGCCTCACACCTGTGTGTGTCCATGCTTGCTGCATAAACATCTTTCCAAGTCTCTGAGCCTGGCCAGCCCCTCCTGGCTGGGCTTTATTTTGCACCTTCTGTAGACTTACACCCGCATGATCGTCTACCCTTGCCATATATTCCTATGTGCAAACACATATAGCCTGGGGTCATCCACGACCCTCTGTTCCATCCACCTGTGTAGTCACAGTCACCAGCACAGAGTAAACCCTTGGAGCATGTTTATGATACATCATTAAATGAGTTTCCCAGATCAGTTTAGCAGAGAATGCTGGTGTTTTCAGTCTGACACAGGTGGCAGCTGGATGAGCTTGCTTTCCTTGTAATCACGGGTGTGATCTTTTTTTTTTTTTGTCCACCCAGTACCTACTGATGGAACCTGGGTTTTTCCTGCATCTCCCCCAAAGCAAATAGGGCCAGAAGTTCCTTAGCAATGCCCAGGCCAAGTGTCAGGACCCAAAGTCAGGCACTTCTTGGCTGTGTCATAAAAATTGTGTGTGGCTCTTTCACTGGAAGCCTCATGTACAAAAGTCCCCAAGGTCCTGAGGTTCTGGTGATTCCCTCTCTCACGTTATACCATTCCACAAGCCAGTCTTCTCCAGTCATGTCCAGATGACCTGGAGAGCTATCATCACTTCCCCTGTCTATCCACATTGTTGGCATCACCTATGCTTCAAGGTAGGGAAGGATGACCAAATAGCAACAGTTTCCTATAAGGCCTCCGTCACTGTGAGCAGGCCTGCATATGTGTCTTACCTTCACTTCTCCATGAGCTGTCATGTTGTGACAAGGTGGCCTCAGCTTTGAAACAGGCATCTGTCTCAGTGGCATCCACAGCAACATGCCGGTCACCCTTTGTAGCCCACCACTCGGCAGTGAACTGACCTTGCATTTCTGGTCTCATGGCACAGATGGCCCACCTCCGCTGACAGGGTCCAGCTTGATTGTATTGGTCCCTTGGAGTGTCTGGATGCTCAGATTGTGTTTTCACAGTAAACCTTTTCAGAACGACTCCTGCTCTCTCCCTGGAAACACTCAGTAATTCAACATGGCAGGCTTTTGTGGTCTATAAATACATTTTTATAACCTGATAATTAAGGGAGACAGCTGCTTTATTTATCCAAACAGCTTTGTGAAGTCACTGATAATAAAACATGCCTAGTGCATGCCTCAAGCAATTACTCTTAAACCCCAGGCTGCCTGGGCAATCTTCTCTCTTTGGAGGCTCCAGAGCCCCACTGTCCAATCTCAGGAGACGGGTGGCCAGGACTTAGAGTGCAGCAGTGCTTCGAAGACATGGTCCTATCTGAGAAATTATGGAAGCTGCTTTCTGACACAGTTTAATAAAGGGAAAATGTGACCTTATTTTAAAAGTTGGAGGTATTTTTTTCATCCTGGGCTTTGGGGATCTGATTTATCGCTGAGTTATTCACAGTCTGACTGCATCAAAGCTTGCTTTACAGATGTGAGATGGCATGGGTGTGGTACACACCAGCCATGGTGAATTGGCATAGCAGCTAAGAACTGTAGGCCTATACACTGAGTTCATTTGTTTCTTTTGTGTCTGTATATGACTGAGTGTGTATGTGTGTCTGCGTACATGTGTTCATGTGTATGTAGGTATGTGTGTTTGTGTGCATGTGTGGAGGCCAGAAAACAACTCCAGCTGGGTTTTTTGGGGGGACAGAGTCTGTCACTGGTGTGGTGCTAGGCTGATTGGGCTAGGCTGGGTGGCCAGTGAGCCCCAGGGATCTGTCTGCCATGCCTCCCCAGTGTTAAAGCACATCATCAGGCCTAACTTTTCTAGCTTGGGTCCTGGGAGATGAAACTCAAGTCCTTCTACCAATGGAGCTGTCTCTTCAGCCCTCAAATGTTTCCCGAACTTTTGCTCTGACCACCAAGGAATGTCTTACAGGTAGGCCACTGCTTCTCTGAGCTACCATCTTGTTTATTCTCTCAGGATATACAGTGAGATGGATGTCATGTCCACAGCTGCTCAGCATCCAGGAGTGGTGGGAGATGCCATTTCGGAAATTCAGCATGTCCTGTCCAAAGATGACTTTCTAAAGTTGATGCTTCCTGACAGCCCCTTAGTGGAGGAGGGGAGACGGAAGGTGAGTGACTCTGAGGGATTTGGAGTTACCATGAACACTGAGAACTGGTCTGAAGCAACTTTGGGGTCCCCAGGGTTCCCACATACCATCTCTGTGACCCGACCAATATCCCAGTGCAGGGTGGCCATTGCCGTTGTCACAGGTACCTATTCACCTTTGCAATGCTGGGGTGGAGCCCTGGGACCTCGCACATGCTACACAAGTGCTTTTTGCCTCAGCTATAGCCAAGCCCTGCTCTGACGAGGGAGCCTGTGGAGGCTGGTGGTAGGGAGAGCAGGCAGCATGTTCTAGTGGGTGCATGCAAAGCCAGGCAGGCTCCCTTCAAGTCCTGGCTCCAGCCATGACCTGCCATAAAATTTTATGCAAGTAGCATTGCCTTTGGGTGCTGATGAGGTAAAAGATGATGGCAGTAACTATCTTCCAGAATCAGGAAGTGACATGCAGGAGCCCAGCATAATGCCCAGACATAGCAGTCCTCCTGCAACCAGTGAAGTTCGTACTGCCTGAGCACTCCTGACCTCCGGGCCTTCCTGGGCTGCTCCCTGTTCTGGAAGTGGATGGAGTTAGTTGCAACCCTGCCTCCAAGTCTTGTGCAGAAGCCAAGCCTTGCATTCCATCACACAGAACTGCAGAGATCAGAGAGCGAGTGTTGTGCCATAGCTCCTCATGCTCAGTGCCATCTTCTTTTACTGATCTTGAGGAAGTTTTTTAGGGGTCTGCTTCATATCCTCATGGTATGTCCCATAAGCCACTTTTTAAAATAATGCAAAGTAGGAGCCAGCGAGATAGCTTACTCTAGGTAAGAAAGTTGCTGCCAAACCTGATGGATCCAAGTTTGATCCCAGTACCCACATGGTGGAAAGAGAGAACCAACTCCAGCAAGTTGTCCTCTGACCTCTGTACATTCAGTATGGCATGTGTGTGCCCATACAATCAGTCAATCAATCAATCAATTTTTTTTATGTGTATTCGTGTTTCACCTGCATGTAGGTAAGTGCACCCATGTCATGCACTGCCCACAGAGGACAGAAGAGGCTGTCGTATCCTCTGGAACTGGAGTTACGTTATGGACAGTTGTTAGCTGCCATGTGGGTGCTGGGATTCAAACCCGGGTCTTCTGCAAGAATAGTGTTCTTAACCGCTGAGCCATATCTCCAGAAATAAATAAATGCTATTAAACAACTTTAAAAATAATGCAAAGTATTAATAGAGCCACAAAAAGTGTAGCTGAGTCACTTCTTTTTGCAAGTGATTGAGATTCAGATGGCAAAAATGTGAAGTGCCCACTAATAAATACTTGGTGCCAGTGCCTAGTGCAGACCCTCTCCCATTTGTAGTCATAGCTCCTCTGGTTCAGGTGGAAAAATGAGGTGTTGTTGCATGGCCTGGGAGTATAGCAAACAGCCAGTCTCCATGCTTGTTTCTCCTGGTCGTGAACCACCACAATTAGATTCCTTGTGTCCCTAGGAGCTGTCCTGGATGACTTTAGTTGTCAACTTGATAACACCTGGGAAGTTAAGGCGTGCATACATCAGATTGACCCATGGTCGTGTCTGTGAGGCACTTTTTAATTGCTAATTGATGCGCCCCACTGTGGGCAGTGCCATCGTTGAGCTGTTGGGGCTTGGCTGTATAAGAAAGGTAGCTGAGGACCTGAAGAGATGGCTCCATGGTTAAGAGCACTTGCTGCTCTTGCAGAAGACCCAGGTTCAGTTCCCAGAACCCACATCTCACCATTCATAACTCCAGTTCCACGGGATCTGAATTCCTCGTCTGACCTGTGTGGGCATTGCATGATAGGTTGTACTTACATACATGCAAGCAATATACTCATACATGAAAAATAAAAATAATAATTAAAAAATATTTAAGGGACTGGAAAGATGGCTCAGTGGTTAAGCACACTGTTCTTGCAGAAGACCCAGGTTTGAATCCCAGCACCCACATGGCAGCTAACAACTGTCCATAACTCCAGTTCCAGCCTCTTTTGTCCTCCCCGGCATTGCATGACACTGGTACACTTACCTATGTGTAGGCATAACACTCATACACATAAAATAAAAATTATATACACACACACACACACACACACAGTATTCAATAAGAACTTGGACTGTGATTAAGATGTATGAGCCAAATAAACATTTCTCCCCCAAGTTGGTTTTGGTCAGTGTTTTATCACAGTGACAGAAGGCAACCTAGAATAGGCACTACCCCAGTCTGCTGTCATCTAAGCACCTGCCATCAGCTCTGAAGAACTTGCTGGAGTGTGAGGATGGAATCCCTCAACAACGCTCACAGCAAGTCTTTCTCTTCAGCTCATATCAGATCACAGCTGTGGAACTGTGTAAGCCTGGGTTTAAGGGCAGATAACTAAACAGTTCTTTCAGAATGGATGAACTTGTGCTTGATGTGTGTTTTTTCTTCAAAGACAGATCATCGTCTTTTCTCAGTGCCAATTTAACTTTATAGTTTACACACACACTCCCCTTAAATTCACCACTGGAAAAACCAGACAGATGGACAGAACATGGACAACAGAAAGATATTTGGCCTCTTTGTCACATTCAGAAATATCTGGCTATACTAGAAATTAGTATTCTGGGTTTGTTGTTCTTAACATGAGAGGAACATGATTCCGTGTGCAAAGGAAGTATTGGAGATTCAGACCAGCTCTGGTTTTCCTTGAGCCCTTGCTTTTGTAGCCCAAATTTTCCTTACTGTGGCTGAGGTTTAACATACAGTGATGTTAATGGTATCCTTAAGGCTGCTGTCCTAGTTTCATTTATGTTGCTGTCATAAGAAAGCAACATAGGGGAGAAAGGGATTTATTTCAGCCTATGATTCCAGGTTATAATCCTTCCTTGTAGTCAAGGCAAGAATTTGAAACAGCTAGTCCCATCACATCCACAGACAGTAAATTGAGAAGCAAACAGACACATGCTTGCTCACTGGTGCTCAGCTCCATTTCCCCTCTCTGCCTACGGAATGGTGCTGCCTGCAGTGGGCTAGGTCTTCCCAAATCCATTAATTAAGATAATCTCTCACAAACATGCCCACAAGCCAGCAATGTAACAGTCCCTCACTGAGCCTCTCTTCCCCTGTGATTCTAGGTTGTGTCAAGTTGAAAATTAAAGCTAAGCATCACACTGGTTTTGTTCCATTGCCATAATTCAATTTCCAATAATTACAATACAGACTTTTTCAAGAAGTAATTTTTAAGTGGACAGTAGGATGTACTAGACTTAAGCTGCTTTTTCTTAAGCTCTTCTGGTTTAGTAAATGTAGTGTTCAGAATTAGTTTTGTTATTTAGACTCAATTGAACTTCCTTGCCATTGATTGAGAGATAAATCGCCAACTTTAAAATGAAGTCATTTCCAATTACCATCAAACCAGCAATGTGTGCTTTTATAAATAACAGTTGCCTGAAATGGCACCTTGTGTGTTTCCCAGAGCTCTCATCACTCTGAGGTTCCAGAGACTCATTTAGCATTTCAGAATTAATTAATGTATGTTTAATTAATGGTAATTTTTTGCAGAATATCAAAGGAGGGAACACCAAAATCCAGTAACAGTTTGGAAGTCTTTAGATAGCCATGTGAATGCTTGGCTTTGCTGAGCTAGTAGAAAACTTAAAGAACCTATGCTTGTGGCATAGTCAAAGCAGTTGGTTGATTGGTTGGTTGGTCGGTTGGTTGGTCGGTTGGTTTGTCGGTTAGTTGGTTGGTTGGTTGGTTGGTTGGTTGGTTGGTTGGTCCATCTGGGTGTTTTGTTTGTTTTGAGACAAGGTCTTACTGTGATAGCCCAGACTTGCTAGTACTCACCATTTAACCCAGGCTGGCCTTCGACTCTCAGCAATCCCCTTGCCTCAGCCATCCCACATTATAGGTATGCATCACTGCCATTAACACCTTCAGATTTTTAAAGTCTGTCACATCCCCTGCCTTGCCTCCCTAGTTTTCATTCTACGGGAACCTGTCTCCGCGGAGGTCACTGTACCGCACACTGTCTGATGAGAGTGTGTGCAGCAATCGGAGGGGCTCCTCCTTCGCCAGCTCAAGAAGCTCCATCCTTGACCAGGCTCTGCCCAATGACATTCTGTTCAGCACTACGCCACCCTACCACAGTACACTGCCACCAAGAACCCACCCTGCACCCAGCATGGGGAGTCTGCGGAGTAAGTGATGACCAGGCCCCCCTGGCTGCCTGGGGTGGGCACATGGGACACCTTGCACCCCTGCGCTCTTTGAACGACATTCCCAGAGCAGGTGTGGGACTTGGGTTGGATTTTAGCTGTTGATCATTTGGTATTATTTTCTTTCTCTTTTCAGATAAATCCATTGGGTAGGCATTTTGAAAAATCGGCATTTGGGGTGTCTAGAAAGGAACTGGAAAACTTATATTAGACATTTTTAACAACTTATCAAATAATGATTTGTACTTTATTTTCAAAGTATGTAAAGTTCAACTCTTTCAAATGGAAGTGGTAACACAGGGTGGGTTTGGGGATTGCAATGGACTGGAGGAAAGGTGTGCATTCTAGTCTTTCAAGTGTGGTCTTGGCAACAGGAGGTAGCAGGTGTGAGGCAGGAGACCCAGTCAGTCTCAGCTCTTGCTTTATGACCTGCCTATTACCTCTCTTTTCCTGTGTTCACTCACATCAGTGCACTGATCACTGATGATTGTCAGATTACTTTACTTCAAGTTCTAAAAACTATAATTCTTAGTGGTGGTTCTTTATTGATGTGTTGGATTGTGTGTGTGTGCATGCACACATACACACAGAGCCATGCACATTTGTGATTACCTGTGCATATAGGCTGTTAATGTTGGGCCTCTTCCTTTATCACTCTACCCTTTTTTTATTTTTTTGAGGCAGAGTCTCTCACTGAACCTGAACTTTGCCATTTCAGCTAGGCTAGGTGGTGAGCAAGTCCCTAGGATCCACCTGTCTCCCCTGCTAGCACTGGGGTTATAGGTATGTACACTATGCCTGATTTTTACATGGATTCTGGGACTCCAAACTCAGGTCCTCATGCTTGCACAGCAAGTACTTTACCCACTGGGCCATCTCCCCAGCCCCGTTGTTTGGGTTTTGATGACAATTTTTAAATTTTTAACTTGTTCCCTTTTTTCAGTCCTAATTTCTGTTATGTAGAAAAGATGATCAGAAATTTATATTCAAGTTGTTTTTTAATTTTCTTCATAGAAATCACTTTAAAATAAGTTTTAACTTCTACATTGCACCTAAACATGCCCAGGCTATCTGAAATAGCTTCACGTAGCTAGAAATGAATCTCATCTCATGCAGTTCCTAATCTCTTCCTTCAAGGAACATAGTACTCTGCTTGTTGCAAAAAGTCCACTTATGGAGCTGCGTGCAGTGGTGCACACCTTTAATCTCAGAGATGGGTGAATCTCTGTGAGGCTGAAGCCAGCCAGGTCTCTAAGTGAGTTCCAGGCCAGCTGGGGCTACAGGGACCCTGTCTCAAAAAGAAAAAAAAAAGTCCATTTATCTACATTGAAGCCTGAGTTCCTTGGCAACCAGATAAAAGGCCAAAGGGACACATTTTAATTCTCCTGTATTTATTCAAGCTCGGCCACTATTTCTCTTTTTGAAACAGTGTCTCATGTATAACTGAGGCTGGCCTAGATCTCCTGATTCAAATGCTTGTGCCTCCCAAGTGCTGGAATTAAAAACAAACAAACAAAAAAACCCTAATAGGCAATTCAGTTCATGAAACCACTAAAGTCCTGCTTTTTAATGCCACTCCTAATTTTCTCATTTACAGTCCTCTCAGTGTGACCAAGCCCTTGGGTGTATGTCACCACCAGCCTTCCATACAGCCCTTCTTTTTCTTTTCTGGAAGAGAAGTATAATTTCTTGACTTTAATTTCTTAAACAGTAAGCTTCACTTCCTAGACCAGTTTTAGAATCACAGCAGGATTGAACAGGGAATCCTGTAGTTTCTGAATGCTCCCAGCTCCCTTACAGACTCTCCCATTACTAACAAGCGCCCCCACACACACACTCCAGGCACTGTTGGCACCTTCGTTATAGTGTAGCCCACATTGATAGTCATTGCCAGCCTGGTCCATAGTTCTAGCATTGTATTGATATTGATAAGTTTCACTGCCCTAAAAATCCAGTTTTCCTGTTTCCTTCCTGCCCTCTCACCTGCAGCAGGCAATGACCTCTTTAACAGCATTCTGGTTTTGTGGTTCCCATAATGCCTTGTTGCTGGAATACAGCAGCATGGAGCCTTTCTTGCTGGCCTCTTTTATCTTAGTAACTGCAGTGGGGGTTCCTCTGTGCCTTTAGCCATCTCTAAGTGATACTCCATTGTTCAGAGATAGCATGTTTCATTTGTATTCTTTTTTTAATATGTCTAAATTATAAAAGCACAATTGGGGAAGAAGCAGAATATACCAGGCTTACTGCTTCTTTAAGGGCCCCACTATTGACTGCTCTCGTAAAGAGACCTTATTTGGTAATGTGTCTCCTCTAGCCTTAAACTACTCAGAAAAACTTCCCTAGGCTGGATGTCCAATGTAAATAAGAGACCTGGAATAACTGATAGTGATGTGTCTTCCTCACAAAACCTCTGATCCCCCCCCCCACACACACACACATGCACTCACTCTCACCTCTGCCCATGGACCTTTAAGCATCTAGATGCAGCAGTTGGAGGATGCTCATTCCTGGTCCATGACCACCTTGGGCACTGTTGACAGTTTCCATCTGTCCCCTCAGAGTCCAGTCACCCTGTGCCTTCCATGGTCTCTGACTGTTTCATAGACCCTTTAAGAGGACACAGGCCTTGGACAGTGGGTCTGAATTACTGCAGTGCGAATCCTGATTCCCAGCAACCAAATTAACAACTTCAAAAATCATACACACAAAAAAATTTAATGTTTTAAGTTAGTACGTGACTTTGTGTGGTGCCACGTTCATAGCTGACCTGAGGCCACACATGGCCCCTGAACCATGGGTTGGGCACACTGCTCAGAGATAGGCAAAAGCTCACAGCCAACTCTAGGCTCAGCTGCCCCTCAGAGAGAGAACCTTCCATCACAGTGCCTCTGCCCATCTTGCTTAGAATCTGCAGTGATCATCTCAGGGTGTTGCTGGGGCAGGCGTCAGCCATCTGCTCCTGATAAGCATGGGAAGGCCTTGCCTGCATAGAACCAAGACTGTGAAAGGTTGCTCCTTTGGATAATTTTAGCTTTTAAAAGTCTCAAATCTGAGCCTGTCTTAGACTCCTCTTTTGAGAAGACCTTAATCCAGCCCCGTGAGACAAATCTGCAGGCTTCTTGTGGACGTGACTCATGATGTGATGATTCATCTACCCTTCCTGTGAAGTCACCTAATGTGCTGTGTCCCCGGGTTCTACCTGGGGATGCACAAATCTCACTTAACACAGCCACTGGAAGTGCTTCTGAAAGATGCTAGTGTTGATCTTCGGACCTTGGTGTTCACTGTTGAAGGATGGCAGAAGAAAACATCTCCAAAGGCTCAGATAGGGGAAAAGGATTGGCAGTAGCTATCTGGACACAACTCAGGAGCCAAATAACCAATGGAAAAAGTAGGTTGCCTGGGCCTCTCCAGTAGTACTCCCATTGGAACACCTGGGTCTCTTGAGCACAGCCCCCAGCAGGACACCTGGGCCTTTCGATTGCTGCCCCAGCAGGACACCTGGGTCCCTCCAGTACAGTCCCCAGCAAGACACCTGGTTCCCTTCAGGGCAGCCCCAACCAGGACACCTGGGTCCCTCCAGGGCAGCCCCCAGCTTTGGCAAAGTTAAAAGGTTGAAAAGAATTTCTGGTATTTTTATGGAACAGAAATAAAAACTCTCTAAGGAATAGTAGAAGCTTCCTGCAAATAGCTACTTAAAGTTTGTATTTTCAAAAATAAAAACAGTATGTTAGCCTCTGTGTGTGCCCAAATTCATACATCTCTCACCTTGTACCCTTGGAGCATGCCCCTTAAAGTTAACAGACCAACAGAAGGGCTGGGGATGTAGCTCAGTGATAGAGCACTTGCCTATGTTGTCTGAGGCCCTAGGTTCAATCCCCAGTACTGTACTGCTGGGGATGGGATAGGGGTGTTGTTTTTGGTATCTGAGTTCGATGGCTCACTCCTTTCATCCCAGTACTTAGGAGGCTAAATTTGAGGCCAACCTGGGCTACATAATTTGTGACTAGCTTGTGCTACATAGTGAAACCCTGTCTTTTTAAAAAATATTTATTATTTTTATCCCATGCATATGAGTGCATCGCCTGCATTTATGTGAGTGCACCCATGTCATGCAATGCCGTGGATGTCAGAAGAGAGTTTTGGATTCCCCTGAAACTGGAGTTAAGGACAGTTCATAGCTGCCATGTGGGTGCTGGGAACTGAACCCAGGTCCTCTGCAAGAGCAGTCAATGCCCTTAACCGCTTGAGCGTCTCTCCAGCCCCAGTGAAACCCTGTCTTAATCAAAACAACAACAAAGTTTTAGAGTAAATAATAAACTATTTTTCTTCTTGTAATTCAGTTCTCAGAGCAATTGCTACAGACTCTCCAAGTGTATACCTAAGAGAGTCTTTTTTATTTTTTGCTTTGTTAAGCCTGTAGTGCCCAGAACAGGATGCCAGGTGACTTTCTCTATTGCTCTCCACCTTGTTGCCTTGAGACAGGGTCTTTCAGTGACTGGAAGCTCACTGTTTTCCCTAGGCTGCCTGACCATTAAGCTTGCAGGCTCTCTCCATCTGCCCTCCAACACTGGGGTTACAGATATGCACAGCCATCCCAACCTTTCAATGTGGATACTGGGGATTCAAACTTATTTACTCATGCTTGCAGCACAAGTGCTCTTACCCACTGAGCCATCTCCCCTGCCCCAACTTGATGTTTTTAAGTCTCTCTTGACAGTGGCTCCTACAACAGAACAATTCCCACCAAGCAGGCACTGCAGAAGGCATCCTGGGACCCTCAGAGGCTAGCACAGTTGCATGTGGCCCCTAAGTCCTCAGTCTTCCTGCAGTAAGCACCTACTGGCTTCTACAAGGTGATGTAGAAACCTCAGATGACTACCAGGAAATGCTGCCAGAATGGCCCTCAGCATTTACAGTGCCACTGAAGTCAAACACACTGAAGATGGTGGAGTGATTTCAGGAATCCACAAGACTCTGATGCCCAGGGATGGAGAGCAGGCTGCATAGGAGCAGGGCCTGGATGCTAGCCACCCCTTAGAATCCAGGTCCTCGTGTAGTGTGGGTGGGGAGAGTCAAGCAGAGACACAGTATAGTCCTATTTAATGGAAGGTACACATGTGTCAACAGAAATGCATCAGACCAGCCATGCCTGTTCATTACATCCTCGGAACCCCCAGGAAGTGCTGCTGTTCCGATTTATGTTCCTCACTTCTTCAAATTCCTCATCTTACCTGACCAGCTGAGTAACACAGGCCCCCTTGGCTCTCAGATCCAGTCCGGAGATCTCTGTGAGGAGCCAGGTGCTTTGCTCGGCATCACATGCTGCTGTAGGAGCCACAACTGTGCCCTGGGAGCTGGTGTCCTCCACTCCCCTAGGCTGTTGGGGAACTAGTCAATGCTGTTCTCCAGCTGGTTGGTCACTTTTCTGAATCCCAAGCTTTGGAGAGTTGGATTTGAAAAGACAGCTTTGTGTATCCATGGCAAGGGGGCCTTTGTCAGAAGCCATGGAACCTGGAGAAAGGAGCATGTGTAGCATGTGGCGTTGCAAGCACAGTGGTAGCTCCTCTTCCTGAAGGTCTGTGCTGGTGCACCACATCCAAACACACCACAAGCAGTTTGTATCTCTGTCAACTGACTGGCTTCTGCTTAGGTCCTCACTTTGGTCTTCTGTCCTCTGACATAGTGTCTGCACTGTGTGCTTGCTTTCCAGTGTACTGCTTCCAGTAATGCTGGCAGAGGTGCCTTGTGTCTGTTAAAGATATACAGCAGATTTTGGCTGGCTTGAGTCTCTGGACAAAAAAATAAAACAAAGATAATCTGTTTTCCCTAATTATCTCATTTCCACCCAATGAAAGGGAAAACATAAATACATCTTATTTTGATCATTGAAAAGGGCACAGTTGGCTCCTGGGGGTGTGGGGGACAGCTCCTATTCAGTTCAGGCCTTCATAGGCCAGTTCATAGCCATCAGTGGTTATTCCAAGCTTTTATGCCAGTGGTGAGTCAGGTGTCAGCCAGATCCCCCTTGTCATTCAGATCTCAACCAGGTATCATCGCCTTGGACAGGCCCCCCCCCCCACATCACCTGGCCTGCCTTCTGCAAAAGGTTCAGTTAACATAGCCACTTTCTTATCTTTCTGCTACCATGTAATGAAGCCTATGAGAACCGAGTTCCAGCTCTCCTAGTGACCCCACTCCCATTGCGTGGTGGGGTGTTTCTTGCTAAGGACATCTCAAACACAGACTCCAACTCCAGCCAATAGAGATGTCTCATGCAGCCTCCTCTCCACCCATTCTACAGTGTAAGTCTGAAATCCCTTCACAATTAGAGGGGGCGCTGATACTGAAGAAACATCACAGGCTGTATTCCCGAGTTGGCTCTCTGAATCTCTGAAAGCTGGAGGAGGTAAGGAGGTCTGCACTCGCTTATGGCTGTGCAGGGCACATCTCAAGACCTCTGAGCTTCCACAGTCCCCACCGTGACTGCTGGCTTGTGTATCATCCAGTGAGCACAGGGCTCTGGGGCTGCCTGAGCTGCGTCCAGCTACACATCCCTGTCATCATCGTGCATCTGCTGCATTACACCAAGATGACGTTTTGTGCCTTGTCTCAGAAATGGACAGACCTTTAACATTTAGTCCAAGACTGCTAAGTGATAAATCACAGTAAGTATTTGAGGAGCAGGGTGTTTTCCACAGAAGAATGTTGCCCTTGTACTCACCTTCTAATTTACATCAGCTGTTGTCCCCTTCATTCTGACATAGGCCACTATCCCCCCTTCTCATGCCAGCTGCTGTCCTCTTCTATCCCAAAGAAGGCCTCGGAGGAGGGACCCACATATCTAGTGCTCTCTCTCCCAGCTCCCACACCAGCCATGCTGCTGGCATACCACACAGCAAGGACAGAGCCCATCCCACCTCCAGCAAGCATGAACCACTGTCACCATAAAGACAGACAGGGAGATGCCACCAGAGTATCCCCTCAGAGTAGAGTCTGGGAGCACACTGACAGCTATCACCATAGCTCAGCATCGCTGCATGGAAACAGCACTGTCTGACTGGTGTCATCGTCTCCATGAGAGGTCTGCTCAGACTGTATTTGTGGAGGGGGTGCAGACTGGGTGTCCTTCAAGGCCACATACACAGTTGCTGTGTCCCGTTTCAGATGCCAGCATTTCACAGCTTCCCAGAAGGATAGAGGCACAGAAATCACAGGTGTATTTATTTGGTTAATTACGACCCTGGATTTAATTGCAGGTTCCGCCAGCCAGGTGGTCATTACTTTGATTGGTCTCATTAGTCAGATGTAGCCACAAGCAGCTGCATGCAATGCTCTGGGCGGGTTAAAAAAAGGCGCACTGAAAACGTCCGGTCAGGCCCTTTCAGGATTTATTCTCAAATGCATAATGAACTCTTAACAATGAGTGTTATTAATGACCTGAGCACTTAAGAAGCCACAGTGAGCTGTAGAAGAAAAGAATAGTGGGAAAACCCATGTACACCGCTGAAGAACTGTTGGACGTGATGGGAAGTAAAGGAGGAACTCCTGGTGTGGCTGTGATGGGACTGTCCTGTTAAATCAGAAAATTGGGCCAGCAGCCACTTTTGCACATAATGCATGAAATAGCCCTTCTCTTTCCAGTCTGTTAATTGAAATAGTATCACTGTGTTTGGATGAGAAAGTGGCATTTGTGACATCTTGAATTTTTGTTTTTATGTCTTTTTTTGAGACAGGGTCTCCCTGTAGCCCCAGCTGTCCTGGAACTCACTATGTAGACCAGGCTGGCCTTGAACTCACAGAGATCCACCTGCCTCTGCCTCCCAAGTGCTGGGATTAAAGGCGTGCACCACCACGCCTGGCTAAAGTATTTTATTTTTATATTATGTATGTGGTTGTATTGCCTGCATGTATGTAAGTGCATCCATATCATGCAATGCCTGCAGAGGTCAGAAGAGGGCGTCAAGTCCCCTGGAACTGGAGTTACAGATGGCTCTTAGCTGCCATGTGGGTGCTGGGAACCAAACCCAGGTCCTCTGCAAGAGCAGCCAGTGCTCTTAACTGCTGAGCCATCTCCCTAGCCCCTACATTTTGAATTTTTACCATTCAGCTTTGATAACTTTGTTCTTCAGACTTTGCAAACCATTGGGAAAGAGTAAGGCAGTATGAAGGCAGGGGCACTTTTTAAATGGGCAGCCACCCTGAGGTAGCTTATCCCAGATCAGGCAGACTCAGTGTTCTCAGAAACCTTCTGGAAGAGTGGCTCTAAAAGGAGGATGCCCTGCACAGACTGCATTCTTATGGCCCCTGTGTGCTTGCCTGTTGCCTTCTCGTTAGCCTCATGCAAGCCTCCATTTCTCTAGCTTTCTTTTGGGTGATTGCAGTTCAATTCTTCCTGTTTTAGAGACAGTCCCCTAGGCCACTTGTGGGGAAAGGATTACAGTACTTGTGCTGTAACTGACTCTGTGGGGACTATGGTGTTCAAGCCATGACTGAGTGGTACCTATGCTGACTGACTGACCTATTGACTGACTGACTGTGGAGCTGGCAACGACCATGCTGTGATTAAATGTATAGAGATAGCAGTGCTTATGCTGTGACTGATGATGGACTAACTCTGGGTTGAAACTACAGAACATACACTGTGACTGACTCAGGGTTAAGACAGTAGAGACTCTGACTGCCTGACTGCCTGACCTGCTTTTCTGTGAAGACAGTGGTACCCATGTTATAACTGATTGATAGACTTGTGGTACCTATGTTGTCACTGACTAACAGACTGACAGATCCCTTGGGAACTATAGAACCTATGGTGTTATTGACTCAAGTCTGTGTGGTGACAGTGGTGTTCATGCTGTGACTCACTAACCCCAGGTGAAGGATGCCAGTAATGGTTCTGTGGCTGAATGTCTGGGAGGAAATGATTCTGCCTGACCCTATATGGGGATGGCAGTGCCCATGCCATGGTTAACTGTTGGCTACAGTGGCGGTTATTGCTAGCTGATTAACTGACTGGCTGGGAAGAGACAGTTGTATCTGTGCTGTGACTGTTTGACTAACACTATGCAGACAGCAGTGAGTCTGTTGTAACTGACTGAGAAGGAAACATGGTATCTGGTGGGATGGACTGTTGGCCCCTGGGAAAGGCAGGAGCCCTGCAGTGACTGGCTTGGGAGGAATGGGAGTATCTTTGTTGTGACTGATTCTGGGAGGGGCAGTGGTGCCCATGCTATAACTGAATGACACCATGTCGGGACAGAAGTGGCTCTGCTGAGACTGACTGACTTGTTGCTGTGGTTTTGTTTCTGTTTAGATGAGTTCTGGTTCTCCGACGGGTCCTTATCGGATAAATCCAAGTGTGCAGATCCTGGCCTGATGCCCCTCCCAGACACAGCCACGGGGTTAGATTGGTCCCACCTCGTGGACGCTGCACGGGCATTTGAAGGTAAAGACTCAGCTGAACCCAGGGCCCCTCTGTGTACCCAGGGATCATGTTCCTGCAGGGTCTGTACCACAGCTTTAGGGACACGTGTCTGTGTGTTCATTCATCTGGAAAATGTTGATTTGCCCGTCTTTGAAAATGAAAGCAAGAGGAAGACAGGCTCTAAGGAAGCTTCTAGAGGAGGTCATGTCACTTTGTGAAATAAGCACCAAGCAAAGGATTCCAAACTCTCTTCCAGGTATCAGCTGCTGCCTGTGTGGGATGAGCCCCTTTTCTCTTTGACCCTATTCCCCTGTGTGAAAAGTAGCAGTTCACAGACCATGTCTGTCCTTGAAGCCTACTGAAGTGAGATGGGCGGGGACCCTCAGGGGCCAGAGCCACCAAGTTTGTTAGGACAAGCAGCCTGCTGACTTGGTGCAAACAGACTTCTGTCAGGATTGGTTTTGGTCTCAGCCTCCTAAGTCTGTGGGTCAGTGGGCTGTGATAGGTCAATGGAACTCTGGGAGCCCTTCTGACTTTTGTCACTGCTGGTGCTGCGATGGTTAGGTTGAAGCTGTGCTTGGGAACACCCTTCTCCAGCTTCTCACCCCTCAGGGCCTGTGTGTGATGTGGTCTCAACCAGCTGCTCAGGATCACAACTCAGCATTTTTTGCCACTTGCCACATGTATTGTTTTTCTCATTGCTATAACAAAATACCTGGCAAGCAATAGCTTAGACACTTATTTTGGCTCGTGGTTTGAGGGATACTTTCTGTCATGGCATGAAAGGCATAGCAATGGGCAGGCCATGGCTGCTGGAGGGAGCAGCAGGCACTTGCTCACATCTCAACAGATCAGGAAGCAGAGATGGGACAGGAAGCAGGACTGGGCTATAAACTTCAAGGGCTATCCCCACTTCCTCCAGTATAGCTCCGCTTCCTCGGGTTTCTAAGACTTCCCAAAATATCACCACCAGCTGGGGACCAAATACTCAAACACACTAGTCTATAGGAGACATTGCACACCTGAACTCTGACAGCCCAGCATTTTTCTCTTCCCACCAGGTGAATTAGCATAGGAGGCAGGGCTGTTTCTTGGGACTGCATTGGTCTCTGCCTACTTCAAGAGAACTGGGACAAGAGCCTCCAATGACTTCTCACAGTGTCAGTTACTTGTACCCCTCCCCAACCCCAACCTGTGGCCTCAGGCCTCAGGCCTCAGGCAGCAAGGTTGGATCTTCTCCCAGGGGCATCAGGCCGCAGAATGCTGAGGTCTGCTACTGTATCCCTTCTTCACCTCTCATGATCTGACTTACTAGAGAGGTCTTGTCTAGACTTCTGGATGCTCATGTGTAGGCTAGGGGAAGCTTCCTCTCAAGGTGATAAAGAGCCCTGGGAAGTGCACAGTGGTACAACAGAAGGGGAACGTACACAGTGTGGACATGCCTTCACTGAACCCCTTCCCTCACCAAAGCCCTCACTCCCTTCTGGAAGTAGTCTGAATAATGTCCTTTTGTTTATCTCATTGTCTTAAGCTACTAAAGATAGGGTAGGACTCAGACCTCTGCACCCATATCTTGACATAAGTAACAGTTGGCACATCTGAGAACAGGCTTTTAAAAATGGCATTTGGGATGAGATACTAGGGTAGCTGTTTCCTCCAGATTGCATATGAACCATCCTTGTCTTAAATCAGACTACTTGTGATGACATGCAGGGACCCTTGCCAGATTGGGGCTGCTAACATTCTGCCATGGAGAAGAGTGCTCTCAGACCCTCTTCTGAGATTCCAGTCACCAAACCTCTTGCCCCAGCAGCATGTGGCTTTGGGGTGCTAGAGTATATAGGATGTAGAAGGTTGGGGTGGGGATCTCTGTTCTCTCATTTGTGTGGCTGCCTTCAGCATACTTGTGTTCCTGTACCTCACCCTAGCAAACTCATTGGTTCACCAGAGTGCACTTGATCAGAATTTTTTCTTTGGCCTGTCAGTAACATCCCTATCTGGGGTGAATACATGTTTATGTCCAGAAAAAGTCATACACAAACACCATGATTCCTACTCGTAAAATAGAAAAAGATCCCTGTCCCCCATTGTCCTGTTTCATTCATGCACCAGGAAGTCATGTTCATCTTTGTTGAGCTAAAGTTGGTACTGGACATGAGAGTTTAAGGACTTGGATTTTATTGTATTATTCAAGAATAAGGCAAAGGCACTGAGTTAATTGTTCCATTATGGCTTAAATAGTTAGATTGAAGAGGTGAGCAGGGGGTGCTACTATGACTGTGGGGGAGTCCCCAGGCATCCTGCCCACAGGTGTTTCATGGGCTCCCTCAGAAAAGGAATAGCATTCTCAGACACTTGCCAACCATAGGCAGCAAGAGAAAAACTAGAAACAAATCTCAAGCAAGAAGCTCTAAGCTTCGGAGAAATTTTAATGTGTTGCTCTGGTAATAATTGAGGGGGTAGAATTAAGGCATATAATAGCTTTTCTTTGAAAAAAGATGCTACCTACTAAGTGTTCGGACTACAGCCATTTTTCTTAAAGAAAAATAGGATGATTCGGAAACATTTAAGTGGGGAAAAATGTAAAAATTAGCTAACTTCAAGCATCCACAAAATCTGAAAGAGGAGCTGGGGAATTTCGCTCCATGTTAAGAGTGCTTCCTGTGAAAACCATGAGAACTGAAGTTGGAACCCCCAGCACCCATGTCAAAACCCAGACATGACTGTGTATGGCTATAACCCTGGCATTCAAGAGGAGGAGACAGGCAGACCCTGGAACTTGCTAGCCATCTTAGCCAAGTCCTCTAGCTCAGTGAGACCCTGTCTTGAAGCAGTGAGATGGAAAACAAAGGAAGGCACCTCCTCTGACTTCGTGTATGTTCATGAGCATACACACCTGCATACTCAAGTGCATGCACTACACACACCCCTGAAAGAAAAGTTACAGGTGAGAAAGAGCTGAAATCTATTTTAAAACGGCAAATATCAGTGTATCTTCTAAATAAGATCAGTAATCAGGCTGGAGAGATGGCTCAGTGGTTAAGAGCACTGGCTGCTCTTGCAGAGGACCCAGGTTCAATTCTCAGCACCTACATGGTGACTACCATCTGTAACTTCAGTTCCAAGGGATCCGATGCCCTCTTCTGACCTTTGCGGGCATTGCACGACACATGTGCACCTACCTACATGCAGGCAACACACATAAAAATTTTTTTAAGTGTTTAAAATGGGATTAATAAATAAGATCAGTTCAGTTTTTCTTTGAATGTTGGTGAATCATTAGCAAGTGTGATCCAAACTAGTGAGAGAGCATATGAGCAAAGTCAGAAATGGAGTGGGATTAACATAAGAAAGAGAAGGCTGCTGGGGCTGCAGCAGACTGCCTTCCCCTTGGGAAGATGCAGGTTCTGTCGTCTTCTGATACTCCAGACTAGATGCAGTGACTAGACATGACCCCTAGCAGTAAGTAAGGCTTCTCCCTCATAGGGCATTGAAGTCTTGCTGTCACTTACAGAATGCAGATTTGGTCATCCTGCACCGTCAGTCAATCTAGTGAACTGATTCCAGGCAGACCTCATGACCCAGGCCTATTACCTGGTAGACTAAGGTAGGGGGACCACAAGTTTAAAACCTGTCTAGGCTACAGAGTGAGTTCAAGGCCTGCCTGGACAACTAAGCAAGAGCCTGTCTTGAAACACAAAGTGAAGAGATCTGAGGATATAACTCACTTGCCTACATGTGCAAAGCCCAGGAGTCAATATCTAGAACCACAAAAGACAGAACTTGGTTTCCTGTGAAACTCAGTACACAATTCCCCAGTACTAGGAATTAGTTGAGGGAACCTGCCACCAGACAGTCAAGAGATGACGGCTCAGAATATCCCTCAGCTCACTGCCACACGCATGCCCTTGCCTTTGCTGAGGCCTGATGGGCTCTCACTCAGCCAGCAGTAGCTTTTCTGCCTTCACCCTAATGGTGGAGGACTGTGCACCTGACACTGCTTATTGTGCAGCTTCTGGGCTGGTTTTATCTACACTGAACACAGGGTGCCACCTCGTCCCACCCCTGTCCCCGCATATGTCAGCACTCTATGTTTCTTATTCTCTGTACTCTGAGTGACACTAAAGAGAACAGAGAGAGATTGAAAGAAATTATCAAGGAATGTCCAGCAGCTATATAGGAACGAACCTCATGGATAAGGTAATTGAGTGTTTATTATAAGAAAAGGTGGGGGCTAAGGAACAATCAAAAGCCAGAGTGTAGAGGGCGTTGAAAAGTCCTTTGAGAATATTCCAAAATTCCAAATATCACTAAAAACATGAAGTTATGGTTAATTGTTTTCCATTTCAGAAAATAACGATGCCTTTGTGCAAGCTTCTCCTGAAATCTAGAAGTGGCTTTCTTGTCTAATAGAGTTCTTTCCTGGTTAAATGAGCGAAAAAGAGAGCCATCAGACAGTCGCAGTCTCTAGTCTGAAGTGAGATTACATAAAATTCAGTAGTAGATTGAAAAGATTGTTCATTATTTTGAGCAAGAGTTCAACTAATTTAATAAAAAGAAAACTTTAATTATAATAAATTATAGTTGGTGAGGTAATTACGAGTGATTATACTAATTTCCTAAAAGTATATCTAATAGAATTAGGACCTGTTTCTAATAAAGTTCCACAACCTCCCCTAAGCATCACCACCTGCTGGGGACCAAGTGTTCAAATACTGAGCCTTTGGGAGACATTCTCCTTCAAACCACAACAGGAACTCCTTGAAACCACATCCTTTAATTTTTTTAAAGTGGAATGCTTGACATATAAACAAGAGGTACAAAGTGGAAAGAAAGAATGAATATTGGTGAGTTTAAAAGAATTGTAGCTATGCTTATATACTTAGAAAATTTCTAAAGGTTATCAGACTGACTAGAGAGGCATTGTTTCAAAGTATTTCTGATTTTTACATCTACTATTTCTATATAACAAACCACCCTAAAATTTATGGCTAAACTCAACATGGTCTGTTTTCTTCCAA